AAGAAGCTTCTCGGATGAAGGTGAAACGTCTTCAAGTAACTTAAAGAAGTCCAGACGCTTTTCTTTGCAGCTCCTTAGACTACGATGACCTGGATGACTGAGAACCTTCACAGATATAGTTTTAGTTTAGTTTTATGTGACCATGATAACCCTCCAAAAGTTGATTCTGTTCATCTGGACGTAGCGTTTTCACTCATCCAGGTGACGTCTTCAGTCTCAGCTGACTGCAGGTTTCAATCTTATAAACAGGACATTTGCATAATGACTGAAACCAGCCCACTGAAGGAACAATGGGCTGGGAGGTGACCACTGATAAAGACCACTGGTCATGAGAATTTGCATAATTAAGATTAAGGAACTGACCTCCCAGCCCATTGTTCCTTCAGTGGGCTGGTTTTTCAGTTATTATGCAAATGTGCTGTTTATAAGACTGAAACCTGCAGTCAGCTGAGACTGAAGACGTCACCTGATGATGACGAAATGTTTCTCCCACTGAAAACATCCAGATGAACAGAAACAACTTTTGGAGATTTACTCACCTGGATGATTGTGCATGCTTCGAGATGACCACGATAACGCTGAGTTACACTGTGTGTACTGTGCCAGACACCTGCTTATCTTCTCTCTGCCCTCTGCTGCCCCCTGAAGGTCAGTTGTAAATTTGCCACCGTGCTGTCTAACTACTGCATCATGGCCAACTACAGCTGGCTGCTGGCTGAGGGCTACTACCTGTACAAACTTGTCAGCGCCTCGCTGTTCTCTCAGAGGAAACCCTTGTCGTGGTACATCATCCTTGGCTGGGGTACGACAGCTCAGTGGCAGTCACTGTTACTATTCTTTATTATTATTTTTCTTTGTTTCACTCTGTTTATTTGGATGTCAGTATTTTGCTGATCTATATAGTCCTCTTATTGATAATAGCAGAACGTAAACGCTAACTTTCTCTCGTCTTCCAGGTTCTCCAGTGATTATCATGAGTGGCTGGAGTTTTGCTAAGTACCTCCATGAAGATGAAGGGTAAGCTCAACACATATTAATCTGTGTAGTACAAACAGTACACATGATCACATGTTTTTGGACATTAAAGGAATAAATGTAAAATGATTACATGCTGGGAATAAATACCTCCTTTTCTTCTGATTCAAATATCAAACTGTTATTTAAAATACAGGAGTTT